TTTTGTCATACTTCCATAACATTCCATGAAAGTTATTGGATCTTTTAAAGCAGAGTACTGCATACTTGTTTAATAAATTTTTTTGACATTTGTTAGAAATCTGAAATGATGCTGTGCATTTTTATTCAGACCTCCTGAGTAATAACTTTCTGCTGTATTAACAGATGCAGGTCTTTAGGGGTGTTACTCTTTGGGTTTGCACTAATATTCTCAGTGGGATTTAGGTCTGGTATGTTTAGGGCTGTTGTTCTGCTGAAAGGTGAACTTTCACTTTAATCTCGGGTCTTTTAAGCATTTTTAGTCTAGGATTGTTGTGCGTTTGACTCCATGAAGAATCCCTTTAGCTCAGACTTCAGACCGCTGCTGTTTATTTCGTGCCATGCGGTGTTAGATTGTCACCACACCCACACACATACACACCCGTACTCGTTCTGCTATATGTAGTGAGGACCATGTGCTGACTCCCATTGACTTTTATTGATTTTCAGTCACTTTCAACCCTTTCTATGCCCTAACCCTAAAACTAACCATTAACAATGCATACCTCACCCTAACCCTTAACCAACTGACACCTTAGCCCTCAACCTAACAATTAGCAATATAGCATGTGAGGACCAGCAAAATGTCACACTTTGCAATAACTGGTCCTCGATCTGGTGGGGAAATTGGAACAATGGTCCTCACTCTGAGGGCTAGACAGGTACACACACACACATGCTTCAATCCTCACAAGAAGAAAAATAGGCCCCACAATGTAAGAGATATATATTATTTTATTTATTTTTTTTCTTAATCAAGTATATGAGTTGCATTGCTAAAAAACATTTCCCATCCCTCCTAAAGGCTGTACAGTTTGCGGTTGTTAGTTGGGTTAATTGCAGGGGTCAACAGGCTCTTTGGACCCTCTTCAGTGGCTACAAATGATATAAAGAACTAACTAATATAGTATACCGTATTTTCACGACCATAAGGCGCACCGTACTAAAAGGCGCAGTCTCAGTTATGTGTCCCATTTCTGTATTTAACACACACATAAGGCGCACCGGACTATAGGGCGCGTTTTTTATATACAGGTACATGTCCTCTACTACCTTTAAATACCTCTACTGCGTATTTAAAAATACAGCGGGGGCAAAACTGAGTATGACTGTGCTTTATTCATGTATTAATTAAAAAGTATTAATCAAACCTGGCAGCTGGCCGTGAGACAGACACATCGCAGATGACACAGCGCTGTGATCACTCATAAATTAACTTAAAATCCTGAAACCTGCCGACGGAATATGTTCGCTTTTATTGCCGGTATCCTGGTGCCTGCAGCTAAAATTATTTAGATGAAAAACACCTGCCATCCACCACGTGAACCCGGAGGCTGCCCAGCCTAGAGGCTGCTGATGAAAGGATTTCTACTGTCGGTGCACCGCTGGTATGTGGGGGTCTGAGCGCCTCCGACAGAAATAGATAATCTGGATGAACTGACTGCAATTATTAAGTTTTCAGGTGGACTTTCTCACTTAAAAACATATTAAAACTACTTTATTCCCACTGATCACAGCAAATATAGCTGCAAGATTTAGATTATTTAGATGAAAAAACACCTGCCAGCCACCGCGATGAAGAGGAGGAGACCCGCCCAGAGGCTGCTGTTGAATTAAGTTTTCAGGTAGAAAAATAGAGCGGGAGCGAAACTGAGTATGATTGTACTTTATTCATGTATTTATTACAAAGTATTAATCAAACCCATCAAAGTCATCATCCTCTGTTTCTGAATTAAACAGCTGCACTAATGACAGTTTCCCATTCTTCGCTGTCAGTCACTTTCCGTGCAGCGCGGCTCCTCAGAAATAATGCCGGCTTTTGCGAAAGCTTGAACAACAGAGCCAGCAGACACGTTAGTCCAAGCATCTACATCCATCCGCAAACGGTGGCGTAACTTGCCCAGCGCTGCCTTCCACTTATCCTGAAACTGTGGTCTCCGTCTGTCATCCATCGCTCCCACGCCGCTCGCAGCCTTACTTTGAACGGCCGCTTCACACCGATGTCGAGCGGATGAAGTTCCTTTGTCAGACCCCCGGGATAACGGCGAGCACAGTATCCATTTGATTCACCTTTTTTTTCCACATCGGCTGTGAGATGGGCACGCAGCGATGGTGATGCGTGGAAAAAACCACCTGGTCTCCTCACATAGGCTACACCTGCCTCAGCCACGCTTTCATCATCTCCTCATCCATCCAGCCTTTTCCATTTGCGTTAATATCATATGTCATCAGAGCGCTGTGTCTGTCTCGCTGTCAGCTCCCAGATCAGCTTCTCTGATTGGTTGATGCGGCGCGTCCAGCAGCAAAACTTCAATTTTTCCATCTCGAGCAGCAGCAGCGCGTTGGCAGATGCTTAAACGCTCCTGCTGCTCAAAACGCGCTGCAGGACCTTTTGCTGCACCTATACGCGCGTCAACCATTGACTTTGCATGTAAACTCGCTGCTTCTGCTGCACCTGCTGGGTCCGGTTCACACCGATGTTGAGCGCTTGAACAGCGAGCACAGCGTTAATTTGTTTCCCCATGTTTTTCACATCAGCTGTGAGATGGGCACGCATGGAGTTACATATTAACAGCAATGGTGATGAGTGGAAAAAAACACCTGGTCTCCTTACATTCAGCCACTCTTTCATCATCTCCTCAATGAGGTGGTCTCAAAAGTCGCAGTTACAACACACATAAGGCGCACCGCACCATAGGGCGCACCGCACATTTTGAGGGGAAAAAAAGACGTATAAGTGCGCCTTATAGTCGTGAAAATATGGTAATAACAAATAGCAACTTTAGAAACTTCAGTGGATTTTATAAAGAATATTTGAATTGGTTTAACAACAGAATAACCAGAAATATAATTGTACCGCTATTTTTCTTTTAATTAACATGGAAATTATATGTTTTAATTTTATCATTTTTTTTATATAAAAAAAATATCCTATAGAAGAAAAATCCATGCTTTATTTTTATGAGTTCTTTTTATGTTTTTCTTCATTTTCGAAGCTAAAAATCCAGTTAAACTTTAGTTTTTTTAAGATGGCAATAGATTTCCTATGGCAGATATTTAACAAAAATAATAGGTTGTGTTTGATTAAAAAGTCATGCAGTATTTTGCGGATTGTTTTTTAACTTTTAGCAAAAGAGTAAAAAAAACAATCCACTGGAGTTTGTTTCCAACTTTTAGGACGATTTGCTTCCCATCCAGGAAGCTCTTTCAATACAAAATGTCAGAAAGAAAGCTGAGTAAACGCTTCTTCTGACATAACTGACATAAATAAAACCTCAAACTCAACGCTATTTCTGACAATTTGAATTGAAAAAGCTTCCTGGATGGGAAGCGAAAAGTCTCAAAAGTTGGAAACAAACTCCAGTGGAATGACTATGACCTGGAATACTGAGAATCTTCACCAGCACAAAGCTGGTGAAGATTAGTGCTTTATTAGTGCACGGTAGAACTGTTTACAACCACCACATTTCAGCAATTCCTTTTTACCAGCTTATATGCAGCACAGCACTGAGGTAACAGAACCTTTTGCAGTCTTCCTTTATCATTTGGGGCACCACAGGGCTCCATTCTTGGTGCTCATCAGTTTTCGCTTTATATGCCTCAGTTATCCTTTCCCTGCTATTTAGATGATCTGCTAATCTGCTTGTCTCTGAAGCCAGGTTACACTCATGCTCTCCATTCTTTCCTGGATTGCATTACCTCTGTCAGAAACATGATGAGGAACCATTTCTGAGACTCGGTTTGATTTCTGGCCAGAGCAACGAAACACTAATAAAATCCTAAAAATAGAACTAAGTCAATAAAGGGGCAGGTCAACTGGTAGAGCTATTTAAAGATGTTTTTTAAAAGAAACTAAATTCATATTCTGGGGGCTCTGGATCTGAGAGGTAAAGACTTGGACAACTTTTATTTTTGTTTTGTACACAGTGTATACAAAATAAACTTTAGTTTTGCACAGCTTTCATGACATTTCCGTGGTAAACGGTGAGGAGCTGAACCATTTTAACTCTTATAGGCTAAAGATAAATTGGAGGCAAGGGTGGATGGGATGTGTTCATGTCTCTTTGTGCCAATAGGAAGATGGACAGCAGCAACCGTCCCTTAATATCTCTCACTGGGGGAGTGGAGCCCCACCCTGTAATGGCAGAGAGGATTTGGCAAGGCTTTAACGGATGCAACCCACATGCTCTATTTCCAGATGCAGTTTCCCTACAAACATGCACCATTTAAAGTCAAATAAACAAGATTTATCACCAGTGAAGCTTCATTTAAACAGATCATCATTCAAACATATCAGCTTAGTATAGTTAATGTAGAGACGGTTTAGACTGTGGATCGATGCTCAGGGTTATACTGTGACCTGGTGGGATGCAAGCAGCACAGTGTTGGACTGAGTCGCTGCCAAATCCGATCCGTCCCCCGCTGCATTCTGGGACTGGTTTTAAATCCCTGCCATCCTGATGAGGATTAAACCATCAGCAGATGCACGACTGAACCATGACATCCGTCTTCCTTTGGAGAAATGTTAACTGTGAATACACAGTATGTTTGCTTGAAAACGAGAAGCAATATAAATATCCATATAATGTCAAAAAAATATGAGCAACACTGCAGAAAAAGTTTTATTTTGTAATGAGTATGTTCATTTTTAAATTCTTGAGATGAAATTTGAATTTCTGTCATATATTGTCCGAATGCAACTATTCCTAACTGTAACATGATGCATTTATTATTATTAGGCTTAATTAAAAATGTCGTATTTACTCTGCAGGCTGTGCTCTCTGGCTCAGCAAGCCAGACAGGAAGCAGAAAATAACTCTGAAAACTTGAAGATGAAGCTGATCAAGCAAGAAAAGGAAGATGCTGTAGATGTCAAACTGAACGACGTTCCATTGGACAAGCCTCTGATGGGTGAGCCTGTTTATCTTTAATTACTGGAATCCAATTATATTTTAGTGCTTAGATGCATTCATTGTTACAGAGTCAAAGATGGAGGTTGTGGCATCATCCACTGCTGATGCAGAACCGGAGAGCGTTTCTGAAAAGCACCTGGATGCTGCTGATAAAACCCCAACTGGGAAATTAGACTGTGGTGAAATAGAGTCCTGTGATGGTGAAGTGGAAGAAGCAAAGGAGAAAACAAACACTGATGCAGAGGTAAGCGTGACTCGATTTTCTTGAAGTGAGCCTGAAGTATCTATTAGATAAACATGGTAGAAGAACAAACCTTTTCAAAACTTGGCCACTTTCTTTTCTTTGATGAAAGCCAGCTTTTCCCTTCGCCTGAATCTGGCTTTATTTAATTCTCTTGCTATTGAAAACAAAGCCTCAAAAAGCTGCTGGGAAACATTCTTCTACAGCTGATATCTGGCGAAAGTAGCAACAAGCATTATGCTTTAAAAGACTTTCAACCTCTTGAACTCTCAAACCTCTGATAAGTTCTTCCAACACCAGCGATTGTTTATTTAATTGCCATTGAGAAAAGGTCGACCCAGGGGCGGTTCTAGACAGAGGCCATCTGGGGTCAAAGCCCCTGTAGAACTAGTTCTGGCCCCTTTTATGGCTGCTGTAGAAGAAAGTGGCTAAGAGTGGGATCCCCAACTATTGAGGATTGGATCAATATAATATACACAATATATGTCATGGAAAATATGTCGTCCTCTGGCATGGGAGCTGCATGGCTCGGAGCTCGTCTGCCTGGCTGTGTGTTTCCTGGAAGGGGCCGCCTTTTACAGCTGCTTTTTGTATCTCAGCTTCTGTCTCCTTGAACCCAGTCAGCCTCTGCAGATGGCCGCTCACACTGAGCCTGGTTCTGCTGGAGGTTTCTTCCTGTTAAAAGGGAGTTTTTCCTCTCCACTGTCGCTACAAGCATGCTTAGTGTGAGGGATTGTATTTGAGTCAATGAGTCAATGCAATCAGCTGGTTTTCCTTAGATAGAAAACTTTGTATCAATTTGACTGTATGATCTGGTTGAACTGTAAAGTGCCTTGAGATGAAATGTGTTGTGGATTTGGTGCTATATAAATAAACTGAATTGAATTGAAAAGTTGTCTTTTCCCTCAGGATGTAAAAGAACATGTTTTACAAAATCTGGACTAAATGGATTGAGTACATAAAACCCTTACGGTCAGATTTTGTACTTAAAACCTTGTCTTGTGAATATTGGCATGCTTCCCATATATGTTTGTGTTTATATATGTCTTGATACTGTGAAAACGTCAAAAAAAATAAATAAAATAAAACACTTTGGAAAAGCAAAAGTTAAGTTTACTTTTATTCATTAAAGCTTATTTTAAAATGGGTGACAGGCATCAGCAGATGGATGGCCTCAGGCAGTTTATTTATTTGTTATTAAAGTTATGGCTGTGTGATGTTAAGATCAGAATCGTACACAGAGTTCGATTTTTTTATTTCTCTATCTTTATTTCGAGAGTTCGAAATAAAGATAGAGAGCACAAAGCTGTGCTGGAAGGCTTTTCTAAAAGACAAATCTTCATAGACTTATATTATCATCTGAACAAAATGGCTTCTATTCAGCAATGAGACAGAAATAAGAAGTCAGGATTTTATGGAAAGTTGAGGACATTGTTGCAGCAGGAAGCTGCAGTGAAAACAGACACATAGCTGTTGTTCAGCCACTGTAATAATGTGGAGGTAGATGGACAGTAGCTGCTGTGTCGGGGCATTTATTGGTCCCTTCACTCTTATACCAAACTACTGTGTTTCAGGCAGGGAGGGAATTGTTTTGTGGAAAGCTCCGAAAAACCAAGGATTTTATGTGCAAAACAAAGAAGTTTTATCTCTTCCAGATTTCCTCTTGCCGTTTATATGTATCTGTAACGGAACCAAGACATTCAGGCTGCAAGACAATAAAAAGCAGATTGTTGTTGATTTTTCTGCTGCCTCCAGATGGCTGAATTAAAGTCGACCATGGCTTGGAGAATAAAAAAATAAGATTACACAATGATGGAGAAATAGCTGTGAAAAACAAAAAACAAAGAAAAGTTTGCATGCATGTATTTAGAAAAGGGTTGAGTTTCTTATTTGAATTATGTAGTATACTTGTAGAAACCTAGTGGATAAAAGCAGAACTGGAGCACATGCAATACAGACCAGTTTTATACGAGCAGTAGCAACATTTCACCTTCAATCTATTTCCACAGTTGGGATTATATTTTAGCGCGGATGTATATCTGGGGGTGTGAATGAATCGGTCTTTGCGTATTGTGAAATTACCAAATTGAACGTGACGTGCTCTTAGAGCCTCTAAAGAATTTGATACATTTCTTTATTGCTAAATAGTTATTGTAACAGATGTAAGGTTATGTGAATGGTAAATCTATTGTTATTTATTTATCTTATTTGACCCTGCTCCTTGTCAGTCGGCCTCCTGCTGTGATTAACAAGCAGAGTCAGCTGCTGTGGTTGATCTGATTGTTTGGTGAAGGAGTGAAACAGTTTTTCTACCAACAATTAACATCTACATTTTTTTGTAAGTCAACTTTGAGATTATTTCTGTTATTTTTATTAGTAAAGAAAACACCTTCTGAAACCAGAAAACTCTCCTTGAGTGCTTTTTATTTTTGAGTGACTAGAAAAGCTCCTCCTAAAAACAACTCTGGCATTTCTTTGATTTTATATGCGAACATATTAGGATACCAGAGTACCCGTAATGAGTAGAACAACTTCACTGATGACTTGAACAAAAGCGCAAAAATTGGGGGATCCAGCCAATCACTCACAGACGAACACAGAAAGCAGCCAGCGGGCCGTGAGTAAAATCAGCTGATTGAGTTTATCAATGAAAGCGCCGCTGTGCTACGGAGAAACAGTCGATCACTACAGAAAGCAAAGTTGTTGATTTTGGAAAAGAAGGATGTTTCACTTTCAAAAAAATTAATCACCAATGATGTCTGACCCCAAATTTCCACCTGCGGAGCAGTGGACCTTATTTTTGTGTGGTGGCTTTTGTTTTTTGTTTTTTTTGAGCTGACACCTCTGGGCTACCGTAGTTCATCCTCAAAAAAACGATTTTTCATTTTGTCCAGTGGAGAGAAATGGAGACTGTAGTTCTTCCACAGCGTTTGGTCTGTGTCATCTGGCTTTTACAGCTTTTGATGTTGAAAAAGGCAGCTTATACTCGACTTAAAATGTTCAAAACAAAGATTAACGTTTTTCTGAAGGTTTTACTTCTTAGAAGTATATTGCTTACCTTTTTTAATTAATGGATTCAGTTGCCAGTAGCTGCAGACCTGCAATCTTTGTATCTAGATTGGAACATCAAGGCTGAAGGTTTGGATCCCTTAGTCCCTGGGAAACAAACCCCTAATACATCAGAACACAGTTCTTTGAACAAAGTGATGCTATCAACTTTGAGCAAACAGATTTCCCCTTTCTGTCTCAACATGTGTACAAAAAGAAAGATGTATGACCAGTCCGGTCCTGATAGAAACTCTTTGGGTTGTGACCTCACAGATGCAGTTAGGGATGTTACTGAGTTCTGTGTGTTTGCTCTTGTTTTGGTATTAGAGCAAGGACAGACCTTTGTAAAATTGATGCATTAGTTGCAACACAAACATGTTTGTCACTTTAGATTTTGTTTGAAGATGGTCCCCTAGCACCCCTCTCACACTCATCTGCATAAAAGCAATTTATTCGGACTCTGATTACATCCCGCTCTCAGTGCTGTTTAGTCGTAGCTTATTTCCTTTCCTGTGTTTGGGCCTAGGTGATGTTTGGGGTTAAGCAGCTTCTGTTCACCATATTTTTTTTGTTCTTCATTCTGAACCTGAAAAGCTTAGGTCCCTGTTCTCCTAAAGACTGGAGTCATTGGGTAACTATTTGTGCTGCATAACTAAACTGAGAGTTTAGCTTATAAACTGAGAATAAATGCAATGAAATCCCTCTATTTATTTATTTTTCAAATCTCTGACTTAAAACTCATAAGAATACTGTCACACAGCTGTGGAGCTGTAGGAAATATTCTGCATCACATCTGCTGCGGTCCTCTATGGATGGACTCACTTCTTCCTTTCTTTATTTTGTCCAGTTTAAACACATTTGTTCCAAATTGTTCCCGTTTCACAGCCGGTTCCAGCTGAAGCATCAGCTGAGGCGTCTAACGAGGAGAAACGCTTCATCTCTACCTCTTCAGACGCTGAGGGAACATCTGAACCCACTCAGGGCGCGTCTGACCCGGTTGATTCCTCTCAGTCTAAGACTCGGCCACAGATCTCTGATCAGGTTGAGGTTTCTGACTCTGTGTGCGAGCAGGAGGAAGAGGAGGATCAACATGGTGGTGATGAGGAGGAGCAGGTTAGTGTTTTTAAAGGGAAATAAGATTCTCTACATTTCACCCCTCAGGATATGTTTCTTGCATTCTGTGAAGGGACAGTTGGGAGCTGCTGCTTTGAAACAGATTCATCTCAGCACCTCCCATTCTAAGAAAGTAAACCCTCCAGATCTCCCAGCTAAACCCTCCACACATCTGCAACCAATTCTGTGGACCATAACACAGGAGGAGGTGCTGCTTAGCCTTTAGGAGGAGCCTATAATTTACCTCAGACTGGGTGCATTTTGGTTGTAACACGCTGAGCATTTAAAAAATGACATCCATAAACCAATGAAACCCGACCTGCTTGGTTTTAACCCACACAAACACAGACTTCAGTATTTCACAGCTTCCCGACCCGCTTTTCATCTATCAATAAAAATGAATAAAAGAATAAAAAAAACATATAATAGAGTTTAGGAAAGCTTCCACAGACAATTCAGAAACAAATATATTTAGTCCTTCAGCATGTTCTCACCATTTAATCACTACCTATTTTTACAGTTTCCTGTTTTAAGTTCAACTAATGTAAATAAAATATACAACAAATTCATATTTACAGGGTAAACACAAATTGTAAGAACCCTGTAGGTTTTATTTTTTCATTGGAAAGAAAGTTTTTACTTTGGTTGATAAATAATTTTAGAGCTTTAAGCTTTTTTTTTTTTTTTTTACATTTTTTAAAATTAATATTTAGTTTTTATTTTGTTTCCAGGAACCACAGGTTGTCATTAACTCCCCTAAGGTCCTAAAGGAACCGTCTGCATCTGAACAAATCAATGCTGTTCAAGAAGCCACAGTTTGCTCCTCTCAGGAGTCAAATGCAGCCAAGCTCCAGGAGGAAGAGGAGGACGAAGAGGAGGAGAAGGAAGAGGAGGAGAAGGAAGAGGAGGAAAAGGAAGAGGAGGACACGGCTGCAGAGGTACGACTGGAACAACTCATAGGTCTGATGCTACAGCAGCTGCCTACTGACATGTTAAATCCTTCTGCAGGGATCCCCTTCCACTGAGTTTGTCTCCTTTGACCTGACGGCTGAGGAACGCTCCAATGAGATGGCAGAGAGGGAGGCCCCGCCCCCTGCAGGTAAAACCGACCAATTTTAGTTGTTTGAGTTCACATATTTCGATCAAGCATGACATATTTTCTGGAAGTTTTCACAATACCAATCAGTCTTGAGTCCCAGAGCTTCAGTGGGACATTTCAGTATGAAGTTTATTTTTCTGCCAAAATGTTGTGTACAAAAATGCATGTTGCGCACACACATTAAGCATGTTGCAAATGCATAAAGTATGTTTCACACAAACAACTTTTATCACTCACAAATAAACATGTTGCACTCAAATAAATCTTATTGTTCACAAATAAAACTTGTGTTACAAACTCTCCTCTAATATCACACACACAAAACTTTTTCTCCCAACTGTCCTTAAATGTTGCCCACACACAAAAATTAGTTTTACAAACCGGACTCTAACATTGCACTGAAAATATAATTTGTAAATTGTCCCCGAGTACAAAAGAGACGCGTATGAGACAATTCTTCACAATCCGCGGTAAGTTTCTGCCAGAAGTCACGTGATTCGTGGAGAATTGTCATTCTGACTAACCGACAGCAGGAGGCGCCACGTCGAGCTGCGTTTCCCCATCAGATACGTTTTCCCCTGCATCTCCGCATAGCGCAGGCGGCATGATTCACCACGCAAGCGACAGGAACCGCGCATGCTTGCTAAAGGCTCGTAACAGCCGCCCTGTGCTCGCGCCACAGGGGAACTACGGAGAGCGTGAACGATCAAATGATAGCCTATATGGAGAAATCTGGATGGATGGCGGAAAAATCACTCCATATTTCAGTCTCTGCAGGACTTTTTAAACCCTCTGAAGGTTCAAAACATTTATTATGAGCCGTCATTATTCAGGGTTTACACATCTACATCCATCTACATTTACTATTCTTTTGAATTTATTTTAAATAGTTTTGTTTAAAAGTTTTGACAACATATTTCTAAATCTTTCCATTAGTCCTGGACTTCGACTAGGCCATTCTGGGATACATTCACACATGTGGTTTACTAATTAGAGGAATTTTGAAGGTATTTGGATTTACTGGAGTTTATTTGGCTGTGCAGAAGTAGAGACCACAACTTTTAGCCTCTGCTGTCTTTTAGTTCTAAATAAAACACAATTTTATGTTAGTAGAAGTTTGATTAAAAGGTCAAGTTTATGAGTGTTTTTATAAGGAATTACTACTTGGATATGTAGGCTAATTAAACTGAAACACTGGCCTCCATTTGTGGAAAGAAACTGGGGAAAACGTACGTTTTGTTTAAACTTAAAACAAGCTCAATGAAGATAATGTAACATTAACAGTCAGTGTTTCCAACAGATTCCATGTTTGCAGGTTTATTCTGTCAGACTGACCTCTTAAGCAGTTAGACAGCAGTTTACTGCAGACACTGAAGGAACATTTTACATTTTTTTCTGTCTTTGGCTTCATTCTGTCTGCAGCTGGTAAAATACAGATGTTTGATTTTTATGGGAGGAAAACGAGAACAAAAAACAGACAGAGACATAAAGCGGGGCCTGTTGTTTTACCTCTTGGTATTTGTTTTTATCAGCAAACCTTGAGGCAGAAGTTCTTGCAGGTTTAGAGCCGTTTAAGAGGATTGTTTAACTTCTTAAAGAGGGCTTCATACTTAAGTGCTAGTTGTTTAAATAATCCCAGACTGCTGAATCTGCCAAAAAAGCTCATTATTCTGTTTCTTTATGGGGACCAGGTGTTATCCCTGCATTACCTTGTGGCACCATTGTGAGTTGTGTTGAATATACCTGAAGATGTATCCTTAATGTTGTTGTGTGGAGATGAAGCAGCTGTTGTTGGTTGAATTGTTGAACAGCTGGAAAGCCGAGTGTATTTATATCTTTGAACATTTTCACTTAGTTTCAAATCTGAATTTTAAAGTAGCCATTGTGCTTTAGTTAATGCAGTGCATATTAATGAAATAGTAGGGAAAAAATGCATGGCTTTGAAAAGGATTTGTTAGTAAATCTCTGGAAGAGCTGCGTTTATCTATGTTTACAGTCAGAAATGTTTTGCTGTCTCTATTTTCTGTGGGATTTAGGACTGGACTTTGACTAGACCATTCAGGATATCTGGGTTCTTCACCCCAACAGGGAGCACAGCAAATAATTCTTGTTGACAGATTTTCCAACCTGAGGTTTAGATGTCTAACCATGGACCTCCTGTTTAATGGCATCTGCTGTCTTCCTGGTGCCACTTGGATTTATACTTAGACTACATAACATACAAGTTTGACTCTTTACTCAGAGGAATTTTGAAAGGAAATGGCTTTACTGGGTTATTAGTGGCTACCAGATACAAATGGACTGAATACATATGAGTTATGTAGGGATTTCTCAAATAAACTTCTGCTTTATGGCTGAGCAGTTCTCTGAAGTCCTGTAAACCCCTCTCTGCTGTGCTGCAGCAGCAGACGGTTCACATTGGTCCTTTTCAATCAGAAGTTTAAATATTTTAATCTTTTTTCAGATGCAGACTTTGAAAAATCACAAGAAAAGAGATCTGAGGTAATTTAAAGCTGTGCCTTTTGGAGAACATTTATTTGACAGAATTTTCAGTGAAATCGATTAAATAATTCAGACTGATGCTGCATGTTGACCTTTCTGTGTCATCAGTGGGTGGAGGTGGAGGAAGAGGACTCTCGGTCTGACATGAAGCCAGAAGACGAGTCAACGACCTTAGTGTCTATAAAGGACCAAGGTGATGCTGCTGATCACCCAGAAAAAGGTGACTGATCTCAAATATTATGTTTCTTTCAGAACCTTAAACGTCTTATGCATTCATTTTCTTATTATAATAGAGGTATGGGAAAATAGCAGTGATAACATACTGTCCCAGCTGAAACGAGTCTTTGTAGACAAATATGGTTCTATGACTCAATTGTGGCATCAGCCATCTTCTATGGCGCTGTTGGAGCAGTGGATTATCTGTAGCTGAGAGAAAGCATCTGCATAAGCTGATCAGGAATAGAATAGAATAGAAAATCCCTTTATTGTCCCACAATGGGGAAATTCTTGTGTTTACAGCAGCTAAAAGATTATAGAAAAAATGGCCACACAAATATGGACCTTAGAAAAAATGTATAAGAGTAACATAATAGTGAGGAGTTACGAAATAAACAATAAAATACTGTACTGTAAAGTGTTTTAACAATATAAAAACTGTGCACCTGGAGGATAAATAACCATTAAATAAAGGAAGGCCAGCTCTGTGAATGGATGCCCGCTGTACTCTGTGCAGACGGTAGGAAATAAAAGGATCCTAACTAGATTAAAATCTCTGTCAGTGACAGACTGCTGCACCCTAAATGCACCACGAAACGTTATCACAGATCCTTTCTCCATGCAGCTGTAAGACTCTAGAACCACCACTGTTCCCAACAACCTCAATAAGTCGTTACATTAGAGCTGATTTTTGCAGTTTCTTTCTTAGTCACTTAAATAACATGCTGCTGTTTTTTTTTTTTTTTTTTGCACATCTCTGGTGTTGCTGTTATTTTTCCACATATCATTTACTGTAAATATGTGCACAGCTGTTATTGTTTTTTTTTTTCATTATCCAGGTACAGTGTATCATATTGTAAAAGCACTCTAAAGTAAAATACTAAATTTCAGGGGTAACCAATTAAAAATCAGCGGGGTCCGAATAAAGAAAATCATCAACCAGTAAAGGTCCACAGATATTTTTAATTATAATCTGTTACTTTAACTTACTTACACAGAATTCAACACTGAAATAAAATAAGGTTTTTATGCATCCGTGTTATACATTGAATAAAAAAAAAAAAAAAAAATATTTTTCAATTTTAAAATCTAGTGTTTTTTGAAGTAGAGAACAACAATCGTTCAGTTTGGTATATAGACATTTTCCTGATTCACATACTTTATAAAATACCTAAACTTTCTTTTTTTCTTTCTTAATGAGAGCAGTGGACTTTAGGCTGCCCTGCAAGGCTTTAAACCTGGGTTTGAATGGAGACGAAGCTCATTATGAGCCTGGATCAATATTTATTTTGGTGGAGAATCCTGCTTCACAGCAGCAGGTTGAGACAAACATCCTCTAAATGTTTAGGGTCATCTTTGAGCACCATTTCACTTTTCTTTCACCAGTTCACCACAGTTCTTCCAGCAGTCCACACTTTCTCTGCTCTCTTTTTCTCATCATCTTCTCCTTCTTTCCCATCGCCCGGCTTGCCACAGGTTTGCCTGCTGTGTCTAAAAGTAGCAGCAGCAGCAACCCAGACTGACAGCAGCTCATTGGCTGATTTGTATCACATGTAGCCTGGTGCCGGACGCTACGGAGGGCTTTACCATATTAACAGGAGAAACAGCTCAAGTGAAGTTAGACACTGCAGTCAGACAACATGCGGTAATTTATAAATGTTTTAAATTAATGTGGGTTCGGATCCGGACCGCCGTCCGCTAAACCCTCACCTCTGCTCTATTTGTTTTATTTTCCTATCTATTATTGTTATACACTTTCTACCACCTTGTGGGACAATAAAGGGATTTTCTATTCTGTTCTGTTCTAAAAAACAAACAAAGAAATGATGTGAAAAGAGAGCCTCCGCACTTTAATTGACTGCTTCTACAGCAGCTGAAAACACAGAGAAGAATCCCATATTTCCACAGATATAATTGAGTTAGTATCAGAGAGAGACGAAGAAGAGTCAGAAGAACATGAGCTGTCATCAGATAGCAGAGCAAAGTTTAGAGTGCAGCTCAGTGCGACTTGGAGCCGCTTTCAAAAGGTGAGTTGCTTCACACGGCAGTAAAATAAATCACTGAGCGGTATGGGGGAGCAGCAGAAACAATGGATGATTTTATGACACGAACACACCGCCTGACTGGTAATGAATTTCAGCTTTAGAATCTGTAGACATCTTTGGTTTTATACTTATGTGTTTTATTATATTCAATAACAAAACACATGAAATGTGTCAAAGAATAGTTTTTATTTTTAAGGCAAGTCTTCATTAAGCATATAAATGTCTACATGCTGAGCTTATATCATATTAAATATTACATCAGTTAAAAACATCTGTAGAATACTGATGAACTGGTTTTTGGGGCAGTTTTTATCGTTTTCCAGGAATAAATGAAAATGGTTGGCCTTTGGAACAGAGATTAGTTTGATCGTACTTATTTAGGTCTTTCATTATTAACAATAAGTATATCTAAGGTTTGTGACCAGGACCTATTCTTACCTGCTTTCTACTCCTTCCTCTGTAAAATATCAGGATAGTTCTCAAACGCCTATCCCAGAGGTCACGGATTAGCGGACGGCCGTACCCACCTGCTGGCTAATCTGGACACAGCCTGATTTAAAACATTTATAAATTACCACATTTTCTCCAACGACAGTTCACTTCACTTGTGCTGCTTCTCCTGTTAATGTGGTAAAGCCCTCCAGAGCGTCCGGCACCAGGCTGCACATGATCCAAATTAGCCAATGAGCTGCTGTCAGTCTGGGTTGCTGCTGCTGCTACTTTTAGACACAGCAGGCAAACCTGTGGCAAGCCGGGCGATGGGAAAGAAGGAGAAGATGATGAGAAAAAGAGAGCAGAGAAAGTGTGGACTGCTGGAAGAACTGAGACTTAGTCTTAGACAATACTTTATTGATCCTTTGGGAAGAATCCCTCCAGAAATTAAGGTTATCAGCCGCTTACAGGGCAAAAAAGTATTAAGTTAAAATTAAGCAACAAAAAAGTATTAAATTAAATTAAAATTAAGCAAAATACAAATGCAAATAAATATGGAGTTGACATTTAACAGAAAAAATAAAAAAATACAAGTGTTGCTGCTCCTTCCCCTATCCCCCTGTCCTGTGTCGCCTCCTCGCCCCCAGTGAGGCGTTGTGGTGAACTGTGGTGAACTGGTGACAGAAAAGTGAAATGGCGTGCTCAAAGATGACCCTGCACATTTTGAGTATGTTTGGCTCAACCTGCTGCTGTGAAGCAGGATTCTCCACCATGAACAGAATTTGGAATTGCTTTCCATTCAAACCCAGGGTTAAAGCCTGGCAGGGCAGCATAAAGCCCTCTGCTCTCATTAAGACAGAAAAAATAAAACAGACAGTTCAGGTGTTTTATAAAATATGTGAATCAAACTGAACGATTGTTGTTCTCTACTTCAATTCATTTTTTTTAAGTCAATGTATAAAATGGATACATAAAAATAAAATTTGCTTTCAACGTTAAATTCTGTTTAAATTAACAGTGTATAATTAAAAATGTCTCCGGACCTTTACTGGTTGTTTTTCTTTTTTCAGACGCCACTGATTTTTAATTGGTTACCCCTGGCCTATCCTCTTCACTCCAGAACAATAACCACATTTATTCATGTTAATGTTAAATTTGCTGGACTTCACTTCTGTTATCACCATGGAATGAAAAATTGCCCAATTTTTCATTATCAATATAATTGCTTCCATTTTCTATTTAATGGAAAAGCATTTCAAACTCACTTTAAGCTTCCATTGAATCCAGTTTGGTTATACTTTAAAGACAAAAGACTTTTTTATAGGTAAAGATCCTTTTATATTTAATCTCATTCAGATAATTTAAACACAGTAAATTGAGTTATATTTTTAATATTCTTTATTTATAACCTGAGCTTAACTGGCAGAGTGTTCATTTATTTAATAGTAAAATTACCAAGTAGCCAGACTTTCTTGTCATCTTTGATTTCCGTAGATTATCCAAGCTTTTTTTTAATTTTTTTAGTTTAGCTGTTTTTCAGTTTTAGATGATTAGCCCCTCACTTCTACCAGTGAAGCATTAATGCGGTAACAAGGATAAAAAAAAAAACAATTGTTTAGGATATAAAAGATTAAAAAAGCTAGTTCAGTTATTGGGCTGCACTGTCATGAATTCACCAATAGTACAAGAAAGTTTTTGTTTAGTTTTCTTGCTTGATCTTTAGTATCTGAAACATCAGCATGCGTTTATTGTTACTGCTTCACATAACTGATAATACACTGACACATCATTCATAACACAAGCTCAGTGTGTGACTGTTTTTGTTTTTTTATTTGCACAAAGATGCAGAAGTTGGCCACATTATCCTGACTGATGACCAGGAAGCAGCCAAGCAGGAGGCTGCAGAGCTCTTTGGAGACTCCATCACTCCCAGGAAGAAAAAAAAGAAGTCCAAAAAGAGTTCTGCCGAGACTCCGCTGGTTGACATCGAAGATGCAGCGAGTGCTGATGTCATCGTTATAGACCCACTCGATGATACTCCTCTGACAAGCAGGTCAAAAAAGAAGAAAAGGAAGAACAAGAAGAGGGAGAGGAATTTAAATGGAGAAGAGGATGAGAAGAAAGAGGTGTCAGAAGAGTCTCCAGTAGCTACACCAAGGAAGAAAGAAAAGAAGACAGAATATATGGAGGAGGCAGCAGATGGTGGCTTCTCATCAGAAAACAAACGGAAAAAGAAGAAGAAGAAGAAGCTTGAAGATATGATGGAGGATCAGACTGAGGAGAGAGGAATAGATCAGGAGAATTCTGTGAATTTGGCAGAGAAAACACAGAAAAGAAAGAAGAGAAAAAGGGAGGAGCTGCAGTTTCAAGAAGAACCAGCAGAGGGCGAGATTGAGACCAACGCTATGGCTGGTGAGGAAAAAAAAACATGTTTTTAAAGAGACTTATTTCTTGGGGCAGATGCATTTAATTTGTGCAGCTCTTTAAACATCTTTTTCAGGCAGCAACTTGCCTCTGCTGATCTCTGCAAAGAAGAAGAAACGTCTCAGAAAGATGCTTAGCCAGAAGAGGAGGTTAAAACATGAGCAGAGGGGGATGATGATGAAGGCACAGAGTACCGGCCTCTGGATGGGAAGAAAAAAGTTAGTTTCTTTTCTTAGACTCTAAGAATACGAAAGAAGAAAGAATAGCATTAATGAATTTTCAAAGTTGGGAGGAAAATAATTTTTGCTTTACCTTTTTTCCAGACAGAAGCAGGAAGAAACTGACAAGTTATCTCAAACAAGGATGGGAATAAACAAAGAGCAAGAAGAGAGTTCATCAAAGGAAAACCAGCCTCCCAGGAAGAAGAAAAAGGGATCAGTAATAAGCATCCAGGATGCTCCTGTTGAAGAAGAAACTACAGTTTCAAAGAAAAAGAAGAAAATAAAGAAAGAAGAGCTCTCACCTCCTGCTGATGTGACAGAACCTCCACCTGCAAAGAAAAAGAGTGAGACGCCCTCCATAAATAACTGTTCTTTACTCATTTCCATGAGTTTCTGTTCACAGGTTCATTTAAAAGCTTGACTGTTATCCCTCTTCTATCCTCATACACAGAGAAGGACAGGAAGAAGAAAAAACTGGAGGATACAGAACCTGCTGCACATGCAGATGCAGCTTCTGCTGTTCCTAAGGTAAGAAACGGCGAATGTGAGCGGAGCGCCACGCAGTTTCCGAACATTCGCTCTACCGCTGAAAGTTGTGCCAGGACGCTCCGCGCTCACCCTAATTTTCCTGCTCCTACAGCATTTCTGACAGTTTTTCTTCATGTAATGATGCCAGGGCCCTGAGACACACGGCGTTTGATTATGTGACCGATACATGAGTATTGTCTTATTTAAGTGGCTGTTAAATTATCGCACTGTTTCCCACCTGTGAACGTAACACCTCGCTCCATTCATGTTGCCCCGCGTTTCTTATTTAATTGTTCATTAATTTTACTAGACTACATTAAAAAGGTCTACTTCGCTTCCATTAATTATGAGATAATAGTGTATAACACCTTAGGGGTGGAACGGTTTACAAAATCCACGGTTCGGTTCACGGTTTCGTGTTCACGGTTTTCGGTTCGGTATATGTTTATTGTTACACCGAGAATTTTTTTTTAATAAAAATTATACAAATTAATGATTATTTTTCTTATGAAATTAATGAAAAAAAAAATTAATGAATTGTAATTATTTTTAATGATTTGTGGAAACCCTGGATCATTTACGCATGTTTTGCTGATTTGATTTAATCATCTCGCGCATGCCCTCTATGATCTCAGAGCGGACGGGAGCCACAGTGGAGGCTCTAGGCTTTGCTTTGTGCAGGCGGTCTGGAGCGCAGCCGGACGGAGCGCTGATGGAGTATGTGGGATTTCGGGGTTAGCATGACATGTTGGTCATGTTGCTATTAGCATAAACAAACCATGTTGCACAATGCTTGCACACAACTTTCTTTCCGCCGTCATCGTAGGTCACTCTAAATGCAAAGTGGTCCCATACAGCAGACCTATAAAGTGCTGCTGGCGCGTCTTCCAACTCCTGTTCTTTCCAACTCGCCATACCCACACAATTCTCTACATCAACTGATTATTTTCTGCTACACCCGGCTACGCTGCTTCACTTCTTCTTCTTCTTGTTTACTACTGGTGGTTGGCTTTGGTCGCAGTACCGCCACCTTCTGCTCTGGAGTGTAAACGCTTCGCCTATGAGAAAAAGGAGCAGCACATGAACCGAACGCAACACACGCGAACCGAACCGAGACAGTCGAAGCGAACGATTCTGACGGTTTTCATAAACCGTTCCATCCCTACAGTATAACACATGAATGTGATCCATTTTCAAAGCAGGCTCTTAACACAACGATCACTTTATATCATATACTTAAGTATAGTCAGTGTATGTTTTTATGATATTTTATCTCACTTTTTATCACACAATATGCAATCCTCATCTCTGTGATTCCGTGGTGAAGTTGAAACATAGACTATAACAGATTATAGGCACAGATTACAGCTTAGGCCTAGGTTTTAAGTCAAACATGAATTTAAATAAAGTCGGAGCGAACTGGAGCGGAGCAAAATCCTCGCTCCAACCTTTGAATTGAAAACTGCTGTGCGCTCCAACATATTTCTTCCCCTCTGCTCCACCACTCTGCTAAGAAACCTACAGACACCTGCCTGTTGAACATGAACACAGGGCTGTCCAGCTCCAGGCTTTAAGAGTTAACAACTTTTGGTTCATCCACGGTGATACTATTTAATGAATTTGTCTCTCACGTTTTCAGAAAGGGAAAACCAAAAAGAAGTTAAACTAGCTAGTCCAGGTAGGTTGAACCATGTCCATGTATTCCTTCTCTAGGTGTTGTGCATCTCTTTGCAAATCTACTTGAATAATTAATAACTAGTTCCAGACCAAAATGTCACTGTGAGAAAGGTGAAGATGAAAAGAACATTTCCAACACTCTTCTCTCTTTGCTCCAGGATTTTTGCACGCCAAAGTTTGCATCGTTGGACCCAATTGGTGCCTTTCATCCTCCTCAATTACTCTGAGATGAGAGGATGTCTGGAGCTACTGTTTAAAGCTTCAGGAGCTGAAGAGACTGGTGATGGGTTCAATGTTCTAGACCCTAAAGACTGTTTTCACTGTTAGATTTATTAGTTTATTATCTCTGGTGATTCTTTAGATTTAGATTAGATTGCATAATCTCACACTGTGATGCAAACGAAGAGCTGCTGATGCAACCTGTAGATATTCTGATGCCTGAAAAGATTCAATACGCTATGTTGAGCTTTTAAAAAAAAAGAAAAGCACTTTGGGTTTATTGACCTACTTTTAGCAAGTTAGGAGATCATTTCTAGTTATTCATCTTTCACTTGTTCAGAGGAGCTAAAATGTTAGAGAAGAAGACATTCCCATGGAATTCAGCTTTAAGAGGGAAACTATTCAGGTTTTGAATTATAATGTTAAAACTGATTATATTTCATAAAAAGCTGTGAATTTGTTTTTAGTTATATAGATGAATGCACTTCTAAAGTTCCCGTTACTGTCAGGGACAAGTTTGAGGTCCCCCCACTTTAATGCTATTAGATATGCTACGTTTATAATTGAGCCTCTTTGATAAGGTGTTTGGCATCATTAATATTCCTCCAAGTATCAGGTCTAAGACGAAGCCTGAAAATAAAAACAGTTGCTTTAGAACTTAATCAGTTTTGCCTTATATTTGAAATCTATCTGGGAAATAAAAATTAACATAACGTCACGTGTAACATTTGGTCAGCAATAAAGTATTACTGATGTTTATTTGCATGAGCTGTGCAACATGTTACCTAAAAAAAAAAAAAAAAAATCAGTGTTTTCTGAGCAGATGTTTTTCTTTACATCACAAATTTTAAGTTTTTTTATTTTTCTGCATAGGAAACTGGTTGAATCATTTATTGATCTATGCAAATAAAGTCCTCACATTCTGTAAAATGTGACAACATAGCAAAATGTATTCCTCTTCTAAGGGTAGTTGAATGTTGGCATTAATCACAATCAGCTGATTTTCTGTTTAATGTTTCTGATCGATGCCAATTTCTTTTTTGCACTTGACTACTGCAGCAGATTCTCATGGCATGAGATTAAAGGGAATCATTATGACCAACGATTATTTTCCTGAAAGTCTGACTCTCCTGTAATTATTTCTTTGGCTTTTTCACCTATTAAAATAGTTTTTTCCTTAAAACTGCCTCTTTGTTTGTTTCCAAACGTTAATAGTCTGGTTTTGGTACAATATCTGGGGGTAAATGAATTACCAATAGGTGTGTTGGTGACATTCATTTGCATGCTGCTAATTCTTTGATTAGGAATGAAAGAAAAATATGTGTGGAGATCATAGTGTGCAAAATAATATCCTGTAGATAATTAATGATTGATTATCTAGAACTGGAGTTGTAGTTAATTATTTAACTTATTCAAAATCGGAGGTGAAATCAATTTAATTTGCTTACTTACCAGGGTTTATGCCTTTCACCTCTGGATGGTTCCTGGATCAGCTGTTAAAATCCAGTATCCCACCAATTTAGTGACCCAGGCTAGGTTATCAGCAGAGCTATTATCAATCAAAGAACTATTAATCTCTGTTTATTCAAACTATTACCAAAAGAGGGTTGATCTGGCCTGAGTGATAAACCATTCGTATATATGGATCACAAACAACTGAGAGTTAAACAATGACGTCTTTATTCTAATAATTCAGGATTACAGAAATCTAACATCTATACCAAACACTACACGCTATTAGAAAATAAACACGAGGTAGACTGACTAGTTTGAAAGAAAAAGAATAAAACCTTAAAAGTCTGTTTATCTGGCTGCTGAGTTTGTCCAAGATAGGCCAGATGTTAATACATTAAATAATGTGCGTTTGGAATAGCAGCAGGTATGATAGCAGTGCAATTAAAACAACATAAATACATTCAGCTTAATTGATAAATGGTTAAAATGCATTAACAACAGCAGCAGAAGTTAGTTCAGCAAAGCGGCATAAACAGGGCTGTGTGTGTGGGGGAATGTGTATGTATGTGTGTCCTCTCACCCACCTATCCAGCAGGGGGCAGTCATGTCGTTACACACCCACCAACAGGGGACCGTCAGGATAAGATGGGACAATTTAAAGGAATAGTACACCAAAAACATGATTAGCCTTCATTTTCTACTCACCCCCATGCTGAACAACACTCTGGAGTACTTTTTTGATATCTCAAATGCATCTGGAGATCTGGGAGGCTTCTTGCTGTCTGCTGACATTCAAATAATGGAGGTCTATGGCGCCCGAGGCAGAAAGGTCCATAAAAGTCCACAAAAAACGTGTCAATATTCCTCCATACTGCTCGTCCAATGTATTCCAAGTGTCCTGAGTGGGTAGCATCCAGAATTTACTCGAAACGAAGTCATTTAGAATGTTTTTAGAGCATAAACAGTAGTGTATAGGATTTCCTGAAAGCGCGCACATGCGCGTTCACGACGCTACGGAAGCCGGCACACCAAACCAGCGCATTCAGCTCGGCAAAGAACTCATGCTCTTCCTCAACACTGAAGTCCTCAGACATTTTTCTTTCGTTGTTTCTTTCTTTGCACAGGTAAACAGCACATTTCTTCTTCTACGCTTGCATTATTGGAAGAGCAGACGCTGAATGCGCACTTTCATCTGGTTTGGTCTGCCGGCTTCCGTAGCGTCGTGAATGCGCATGTGCGAGCTTTCAGGAAATCCTATACACTACTGTTTATGCTCTAAAAACATTCTACATGACTTCGTTTCGAGTAAATTATGGACGCTACCCCCTCAGGACACTTGGAATACATTGGACGAGCAGTATGGAGGAATATTGACACGTTTTTTTGTGGACTTTTATGGACCTTTCTGCCTCGGGCACAATAGACCTCCATTATTTGAATGTCAGCAGACAGCAAGAAGCCTCCCAGATCTCCAGATGCATTTGAGATATCAAAAAAGTACTCCAGAGTGTTGTTCAGCATGGGGGTGAGTAGAAAATGAAGGCTAATCATGTTTTGGGTGTACTATTCCTTTAAGGTCCTCTCTTGTTCATGTCCTAAATCATGTTAATAACATGTTAAAAACCATCTGGAAAAAATTTTAAACTTTTGCCAAGAGGGGACATGAGTGTGTGTGTCGAGCAGATACTCAACAGCAGGTTGGACCAGGAATTTTAACGGCCCATTCACACACAACGCTTTTTACACACTGTACTTCACATTACAAAGGGGCCTAAACAAACCTTTCAGACTATGGAGTGGCTAGAAAACAGGCTAAAACACCAGGATCTGGAAACTAATTTTGGTCTTTTTTTGTAGCAAAATATAAAACTTTAATTTAAAGAGGAATTCAAAGGCAGTATTTGGAAAAAGAAGTAAGAATAAAATATTATGTAAAAAAGTCAGAAGTAAATTGTTTTCTTCTGTATTTTCATTAATGAATTTTCTTAAGTTTCCAAACATTTCCACCAAATTTAAAATTAACCTTTGTCCTCCATTTTTATTTAAAGGAATGCATTTTGTTTGACAATTTGCATTACAGAAACATTTTTTATTTTTATTTCTGAGGCTACCCATTATAACTGATAAATGATTCAACGTGAGACGTATCAACAAATGTCTACTTTTTATATGTGTGACATTTTTTATACCTGATGCTTCAATCTACTTTTATAGGAATGGTTTTAATTTGTTAATTTGCCTTACAGAAAGGAAGTCCCTACTTGGTTTGTATAAAATGACACAAGTCCGCTCTGAGATAAGATGGAGCGACATGCACACTGGTGGCTCATTACCTTCAGGTTGGAGGAGAGTTCCTGCTTCAAGAGGAGGACTCTAAATATGGGTCCTGATGAGTGAGTGAAGAATGGAGAGGGAGAGTAGTCACTATAGGTTCCTACCCTCATCTATGGTTATTAAATGTGGATTATGACTGAAAGGAAAAGATCTCAGGGAGTGGCTTGAAGTAGAGCCGCTTCTCCTCATCGAGAGGAATCAGCCAGGATAACTAGGAGATCTGTTCCCAATCCCTCCTGAATGCCTTCCTTGGGAGGCCCTGAACACACCGGAGGAACTATGTCTCTCAGCTGGCCCTGGAGCGCCTCGGGTGTCCTGCAGGAGAGCTGGAGATGTCTGGGGAAATGGAAGTTGTGGAGTCTCTAAGACTGCTGGCCCCGGAAAACAACAAGCACAAGTGTTTTGATATTCAAATGAAATAGCTGTTTAAACATGACCGATGTGCTTTCCATAAAGTCCCTTAGAGTCCCTAAAAAAGGGATTGGCAACCCAAACTGTTCAAAGAGCCATATTGGACCAAAAAACAAATCTGTCTGGAGCCACAAAAAATATAAAAGTCTTTTATAAGCCTCATATGGCAACACGGGCTCTAAATGTATTAGCCCACTATTAAAAAAGGACTATGTGGGCTTAAATACATAATAAGCATTCATGATTAAATGTTTATCCTGGAGCAAATGTCACATAATGTGGCGACGCTGTAAAATATTTGGTGCTTTAAGGTTTTATTCCATTACAATATTAATTTATTAGGTTTTGTTGCATTGATTGAACTAAAGAAACACAATAAAGAAATCAGATTTTAGTTTTTATTTTAATTTTGAGGATTTGAGGAAAAAAAATGGAAGAATGTTCACATACCTGCATAAGAGCAGGGCCGGTCCTAGCCAATTTTGGTGGTGGGCCCCCTACATCACAGTAAATTCCACAGCCAGTTTACATTCTCACACAAGCCTGAATGGGTTTATCTTTGACGTTTTCTTTTAATTTTTGAGGAACCATGAAAACTGATTGAAATAACGTTGAAAGCAATGTAATGAGATATAAATTCAAAATTAGAACTAAATAATACAAAATTGTTATTTGCAAACAGCAAAAAGAAAAATACAGTTAAAAAAGGTTTAAAACTAAAACAAATATACTTTATGGATATTGTTATAAAAGAAACTTAAACAATGCGAGAATCATACACCAAAGAATAGAAATGGGTCCAAAGCAAATACTCTATAGTCTAGACAGTCTCATTAGTTGGTTCATGAAAAGGTAAACTGCTTCTAAATTTAGCAGCATTAATTGCATTTCTTTCATGCTAAGAACGAAAAATACACAGAAGGTTTGCCTTTTTATTATCCACTCACCTCTTCCTCTCAGACTCTTATGATTCGTCAACCCCACCCTCCCTTCTTAATTTTCCCTTTCTTCTCTCCGTTAATCTATGGGAGATCATACCCCCACACAGAGATCTTCATGCCTTCTGTTTTCTCCTTAGATGTCAGCGACCCCCAAACCCCTATCCTTCCATCCCTTCACCCCTCATTCTTTCATCCCGTCATCCCTTCCTCCCCTCATCCCCACATCCCTCAACCCTTTCATCCCATCCTCCCATTGTCGCTCATACTTTCATCCCGTCATCCCTTCCTCCCTTCTTTTAATAAATGTAAAAACTGCCTACCATAGCCCACTTCATATAAATTTACCCATTAAGTCAATCAACAATCTTCTCCTTCGCTATTTTCCTCTCCTTTGCAGCTCAAGCTCTGTTTCTCTGTCTTTTTTCCCCGTTTTTGTTTTCTCCAGCTTTTATTTTTATTCCACTGTCACAAGTACAACGCAAAAAAATGAACTCTCTGCATTTAACCTGTCCCCTTGGGGAGCAGTGGGCTGCCATTGTGCGGCGCTCAGGGAGCAGTGTGGGTTAAGAGTCTTTGCTCAGGGACTCGGCGTGGCATTCGGTAGGAGTGGGGGTCCAACTCAGAACCTTAGGATTCCAAGCTCTATGCCCTAACTACTAGGCCACCACTCCCCTCAAAAACACATTAAAAACATTCTCCATTTATTTAAAATTTCTTCATTAAAATCTCTAGTTCCAGTTGGTTGAAATAGGCACGTCCGGCTGCCAGTTGTCTTGATTACTT